ATATAATATTATTCTTTTTTATTTTTTTTAAATAAAAACAAATTAATGGAGGAGTTTGTTGGCGAGGCAAGAAACTACTCTCTCTCCACTGTATCTCAATCTCTCTCTCTCTCTCTCTACATCTTCATCAATATCATTTTGAACACAAAAAGAGAATGAGAGAGATATGTAGGTAAGGAGAGAGAGAGGGATTCGGATTGGAAAACATAGATAGAGGGAAAGGTTTCGTTTGGAGAGAAAATAAAAAGAAAAGAATACCTTTACTCTCTTGCCTTCCTTGTTTTTCCACTTCAATGCTTTTCCCTCCCAACATTTTCCAGTTGAAAACTACACTTGGTTTCTCCTTCATTTTTTTCTTTTTTTTTCTTTTTTCACCCTCTTTCTCTCTTATTCTTTTTTAATGACCCATTCTATTAACAAATATATATAATTTTACTCCTTTAAAGCTTTAAGAGGTAAAAGGCCCTTTCGCTCTGTCACCTACTGCGACGATTTCTTCTCGAAAATTGTCGGTTCAAAGCTTAAAACCATTTATGGGAGACTTATAATTATGGGAAATACCTTAGTCTTACAATTAATTATTCTCAGCTGAACGAACTTCTTGAAGCTCTTTCAAAATCATTTCACGTGTGTGCAGCTCTTTTTTCCTTTTTCTTTTTTCTTTTTTTTTTTTGAAATAAATGAAAGAGAACGACAATGTCATTATAGATATAGATAGAGAGATGGATATATAAAGAGAGAGAGAGGGGGAGATACATGCACAAACATAGAGCTCATGAAGAGAGAGCGAGAGATAGAGAGAGAGAGAGAAAACCTTTCGAATGAAGTTTCAATATAAAACAAACTCTTGTTATTTGATACAAAACAGAAATCTAATCCTTTGACGCTTTTGCTCAGCTTACAACCTCTGTTTATGGACCTTATAAGGAGAGAAAAAAAAATAATTTTTAACTGTTCCTTTTAGCCATTTTTTTCTTTCTTTCTTTCTTCTCTTAGGCATCTTTTGAAGAAAAAAAAGAATTTTTGGTATTTTTCACACACTTTCACTCGTATTTGGCCTCTTTTCTCTTCTTGAATGTGAAAATTTCTTTCAAACCAATGCACAATATTTCCTTTTTTATTAAAAACCTTTATGGAGAGAGAGAGAGAGTGAGATAGAGAGAGAGAGATGCAGAGTAAAAGAGATAAATATACAGAGAGATAGCAGGGAATGGAGATCAAAAAAAAATTTTTTTTTTTACTTTTCTCTCTTCTCCACTGCAGAAAGATGTCGTCGTCTTCTGTCTTTTCATCGATGCTTTTGCCTAATTAGGATGAAGAAATGCGTATAATTAGCATGTTGTAGATAGAATTGTAGAAGGCTCAAATTGTCATTTTTCTCATGGATAATCTTCTTCTTCGTCTTCTTCTACTACTCTCTTACTCTCTCTCATAGTCTCCGTGTCTGCTTGTTGCCCTCTTTTTTTATTTTATTTTTTTGCTCCCTTTTAAACTACTGAAAGAGAGACTTACACTAACACTGACAGAGAGAATGAAGAGAATTTGAAAAGTGAGATGATCATGTTCTCGTGTACCTCATCTGCCTTTCCCCCTCTCTCTGCTTCTTCTACTACTACTGCAGCTACTACTCATGTTAATCATCATGTCATTTCATCTGCTTTTACCTTGATTCAGCTTGTTTTGCTAATACCATCGCTTCACTAGCAATATGAGAGCGTAAGGATCAGCTGATTTCAAAAAGAATTTTTTTTTCTCCGTGTTGGCTTTTAAAAATGAAAAAAAGAGGAAATTTTCTTTTTTTTTTCATCCAGTCTTCGCAAGTATTATGATTTCCATGACAACTCGATTAAATATCTTAAAAATTAATGGAACAATTAGATTTTCATACAAAAAAGGAGAAGAGGAAGGAGAGAGAGAGACAGAGAGAGAGAGTCAGAGAGAGAGGAAAGAGGAGGGAAAGCATAACAAACCATGTTTTTCCTCTAAAAATTTTCTGAAAATGAATAAATTTTGAGAAGAAATAAGTGACTAATCAAATATTTATCTTTGCCTTATCATTCATCTACATCTCGATAACTGAATATGAAGAAGGAAAAAAAGATTTTTCGTTTGCCATCACCACCAACCACCATAATCATCATCAGCATCATCAACAGCTTGCTTCTACTATCTATTCTTCGTTATCTTCTCACTTCTGAGCTATCCCGCTCTTCCCTTATATAGTATATATTGTGTTTTTATAATTTTTACTGTTTTTTTTTCTTCTTCTCCTTACTCTCTTCTTGCTTTCATGACAAAGAGAGAAAAAATATTCTCTGAGTGAAGGGGAATAAGCTTAGCTTTCCTCTGAAATGACATTGATATTTCCGCCAAAAGCTTTTCACCTTGACTTTTATTGCCTTAGGAGGAAAAGCTGTTATTCAGACCATCTAGCTTACTCGGATTTTCTGAACTTATAACTCCAAGACTTTATACAGCACATGTAGTATAAGGAGAACATTGAAAAAGAAATGAAGAGGGAGAGAGAAAGAGAGAGAGAGAGAGAGTGAGCTATATGTATACATAGAGAGATATAGAAAGAGTATATGAGAGAGAAAGGAAAAGAGTCGTTTAGCTTTCATATTTCTCCTACAAATCTATTAGATTGCTCTGTTTTTCCTTTCAATATATTTCATTTGAAGCTTTTTTAAGCTTAAAAGTTTAGAAAATAAAAATTAAAAATGCTGTCAAATCGTCATCGCTCTTGACTACTCTTGGATACGTTTGTTAGTTGGACGTTTTTTTTTTCGTTTAAAAACGGCCACAAAAAAAAAGATTTTATCGGATAACCCAAGTAATCCTGGCAGATGAAAAATGCTTTTCTCGTGCACTAGTATGTACCAAGAGGAGAGACAGAGAACGAAGTTTTGACTTTACGGTTTTTTGCCATTCTCGTTTAGAACATTCTTAAACTTCCACCAGCTTCTGAGCTTTTCCTTCTGTTGCAGGAAGAAAACCTTTGCGTTCCTCTTCTTTTGCATTTTTTTTTATTTTCGGCCAAATTTGATAAAAAAAGGCAAATAATGACAAAATACGCAAAGGACAAGACCAGAAGAAGAAAAAACCCGAAAAGACAATGAAATGAACTGGGGCTGTCCTGCTGCGACACCAAAGGATCGATGACGTGCTTGTCCATAATCATATTAGGTCTTCTGTCCTACGAGCTCTTTTACACTGACTGGTTGGGAAGTTATTTTCCTCATTTCTCTCTCTCTCTCACTCTCTATTTTTACCTCTTCATTTTTCTCTCTCTTGAAATTTCTCTCTCTACCTCTCCCCCTCTCTCTTTCATTATTTCCAATCTGCATTGCTCTGTCGATCTAGCCTAACGTTTTCCTCTCAGCCAGAAATGTCTATGTGTGTGTGTGTGTGTGTGGCTCCTGGCTTCTTGCTGCTGCTGATCGGGGGCAGGAAAAGGCATCAAGCTTACACGAATGCTTAGCTGGCTGTTCATCCATAAATTTGCTTGTGTGATTTGCTTTAGTTCCTTTCGATATTTCTTCCTTTTTTATTTTTCTTCTTATTCCATCAGAACACCTTTGATGTTTGAAAGTATAAGTGAAGACGTACAGCCTTCATCTCCCCCCATACCTTCTTTCATCTCATTTTTAGCCATTTTTTGTCATTTTTCTTCCTTGTTCTCTTTTTCTTCTCTTTTCCCTCACTCACTCCCTCTCTCTTTTGTTTCTTCTTGTCAGAAACTGATCTGCAAAACGATGAACGATGTGAGTTGTTTTGCGAGTTGCCATTGCTGAGCTCACGACCCCAACCGACTTCTCGTCAATATCATGAACGAGTAGATCCTTTCTCACCCTTGTATGGGCTCTCTAGCTAAAAGTTAATTGCTTAAAAGAAGAAGAAGAGGAGCAAAAAAAGGCAAAAAAAAAAAGAGATTTTCTCTCTCTCTCTCTTCTCCTTTTTTTGCTCCTTACGTCGTCTTTTTTTGCTTCTAAAAAAGGAAGACGTCTTCGTTCATCTTCCCCCTATCCATATTTCTTTTAATTTCAACTTAATTTTCTCTGCGAAAGGAAACAAATTTCTTCATTATAACCTTCTTGACTTATTCATCCTCTAAAAATACTTTTTCTTCCCCTTTTTCTCCTCCTCCTTCTTCTCCTAATTCTTTCTTATTCATTCGACACATACAGAGAGAGAGAAGGAGAGAGAGTGAAATAGAATGTAAAAGAGATTGAGATAAAGAGAGAAAGAGAGAGAGATGCATATGTATTTCTATATATAGAGAGGGAGAGACTCAGGCGAATGAATTTGAAAATTTACTTTTTCAAATACAATTTTGTACGAGCCAGCTTGCTTACAAAACGGAAAATCTTTTCACTTTATTTAATATTTTTCTCACCTGAAGCTTTTTCTTTCTTTTTTTTCTTTTTTTTTCATTTGTTTCGGCTTTCTGCTGCTCCACCTCCTTTTTTTTCTCGCTACAACGTCGACATAAATTCTGAATATATTCAGTTGCTTGGTTACTTCATCCAGTAGTATCTGAAGCTTTTCCTTCTTCATCTTCATCTTCCCCTTCTCGTCGAGTCGTTTCGAATTTCTATTTTTCTTTTTTTTTCAACAAAAAAAAAGGAAAGAAGAAGGAATTCTCAACAATTTTTGAACGTTCTTGGTGTAGTTGATTCTCCTTCAGTCCGTCCGTCATTTCTGTCTTCTGTTGCCTTCTCCCCCTTCATCTACTCTTCCTGACTCCGTTTTGCGTGTTTATTTTTGTTTTGTTTTGTTTTTTTTTCTCAAACAAAAAACAGAAAATGAAAAAAAAAAGAGAAAAAGAGAGTTTTCACAACCTTTCATTTGTCTTATGTGTTCTTATGTCTTTCTTCTTCTTCTTATGAACTCATGTAAAGCAGTATAATAGATGAAGCATATCGCCATTATCTAAGAGATTATGCTGCAACTGATTGGACGACTTTTATATGTCTATAACAACAATACCTAAACACCTAATGATTGTTTTGCAAAATGGCAAAAATAAGGTAAAAATGAAGTACAAAATAACGCACCATGCATAGGGGGTGGGCTATATCACATACGGTACACAAACAACATGAAGAGTTTCTCACTACTCATCGCTTTTCTAGGAAATTTTCTAAGTTCAAATCAAAAAAAAAACATATCGTCCAAAGAAACTTCACAGCAAAGTTCATAGTATAACATTCAGATTTTCAAGCAAGTGTTAAAAAATGAAGTAAATAGAATCACATCCACAATCCGTTCGTCCCCCCCCCACCCCTCTACATCAACCATTCAACCCCCCTTCCCCTACACACACACATCCTTCTCAGCAATTTTTTATTGATGAAAAAAATATTTTTTGTTGTAGGTGCTCTCACTGGGAGCCGACGTGCTACCAGAATACAAGCTTCAACCAACACGAATCCATCATTGTACCATCGTTCATTACAGGTTTGTATATTTTCATTTCAAAAAATAAAGAAAAAAAGAATGAGAGAGAGAAAAGGAGATTGTAGGATAGTAGAACATATTCAGAAAGTGAGAGAGGGACACAAAAATAAATGCTTTGTGAGTTTTCTTTCAAAGAATCAAGGGATCCTTTGAAAGGGAGAGAGAGACACACACACACAGTATGAAGGAGATCATTTTCTTAACGAGTTGAAGCGTGAAAAGAGAGAGAGAGAGAGATAAAGAGAGTGTGTGAGAAAGATAAGTTATCTATGAAATCAGCTAAAGCTTGTATTGACTTTGCTCCCTTGTCAGACATCAAATGTCACAGCCATGTCTCGAGAGTGGAAAAACAAATTAGAAAATTCATTTTCTAATTAACTCTCAAGAAGTTAAGTAGCAGATGCTCTCTCCGCACCTTTTTTGTTCAAATATTTAAATTAAAAAGAGTAATAACTCAAAACACGAAGTGTGTTTTAATCCGTTGCCCGTCTGTCATTCTGATGTTTCCATACAAAGCGTGGTAGCTATAGAGGGTGAAGAGAGAGAGATACAGAGAGAGAGAGAGGGAAGAAAACTTTTTTTTTTCAAAAAAAAAAGTAAAAAATAACAATTAAATTCGCTACTTCAGCAAATTTGAGAAAGGAAAACATGCAAAAATCAGTAAATTTTTGAATTTTCAAAAACCAACCGTTCTCTGTCAATGTTGCAAAGCTGAACATGAACTTCCGAGATGAGCTGTGTCACGCAAGTCACGTGGAAGCTTGTGAATAATTAATTCGAATAACTTAAAAATTAATTTATGTTCAGAAGAAGTAGAAGAAGAATTTTGAAAGTGAGCAGAGAGAGAGAGAGAGAGAAGAAAAAAATTGAAAAGTTGAGATAGATGAAGATCATTGAAAAATTGAAACGGAATAGAAGCCAAACAGATGTTTTTGTTGTATTTTAGTCCGTTCAAAGCCGCATGGGATTGGATTATTCTAATTCTTGTTATCTACACAGCTGTTCTAACTCCATATGTGGCAGCATTTTTACTACGAGAAGTATGTTAATTGATATCAAAGGGCAACAGCTTAACCCCTCTCCTAGTTCTCATTTCAGGACCAAAACCACAAAAGATCACGGTTTTCGGAGCCGATGGAAATTATAGATCTAATAGTCGATATTATGTTTATTGTTGATATTATTATTAATTTTCGTACTACCTATGTTAATGAAAATGATGAGGTAAGATGATGAGTGAGAGGCTGATTCTAGTAATGCTTACATCTTCAGGTGGTATCACATCCGGGTAAAATAGCTACACATTATTTCAAAGGCTGGTTTTTCATTGATATGATTGCGGCTGTTCCGTTTGATTTGCTTCTCGTCAATACGAACAGCGATGAGGTATACATATTACCATACATGTACTTTCTTCATGATATCCTTATATAGACAACAACTCTTATTGGATTATTAAAAACTGCCCGCTTGTTGCGGTTAGTAAGAGTAGCTAGAAAGCTGGATAGGTAATGATATCCATTATTCATGATTCATTATCATCATCTATGTTTGCAGGTATTCAGAATACGGTGCGGCGGTACTTCTCCTTTTGATGGCAACATTTGCATTGATAGCTCATTGGCTAGCTTGCATTTGGTATGCAATTGGAAGTGCTGAATTACCACATAAGGACATAACTTGGTTACATCAATTATGTGAGTTTTAAACTGTTCTCTCTCTTTTAAAGGCAAGAGAAGCAAAAAGGAAAAACCTTTCTCCCTCCCTCTCTCTCTCTCTCATTCTCATTCTCATCTACTGTCTTCATCATCTATCCCCACGCTGTGTATATGAAAAGGACATCATAATGAACAGAAAAATGTTAATTTTTAAAATGCAAACCGCTTATGAAAACAATAAATGACGTCATTGCGTCAGTTTTCAGCGTCATCAGGATGTGAGCTAAGCGAATGTATGTAGGAAAGCCTCAAATGTATTTATTTTTAGAAGATAAAAAAAGAAAGAGAGAGAGAGAGAGAACCATAAATGTCGTTAGAAGAAGAGCAGTTTTAATGAGAAAAAAGCTTTTCTTTCGATTTTTTCTTCTTCCAAAAAAAAGGAAAATTTTTTCATTTTTTCCTCAACTCATATCAAGGAGAGAACTACAATTATTGTCATGGCAACAACAATCTTCACGAAAATATATAATTTCATTCGCAACGAAATTTGATTTTTGCAGCAAAACACCTGGATCAACCTTATACATCTACAAATGGAACTATGCCAACGGGGGGTCCAAGCTTGAAAAGTCGTTATGTGACGTCACTCTATTTTACCTTATCAACTATAACATCTATAGGTAAGCTTCATTATCTCTCTCTTCATATATTTATATATATACTGTGCATGCAAAACATACTCATCTAGTAAACAACTCACATGTAAACATCACACGTGTGAACGTTCCGTATGTAAACATCAAACCTATAAACACATCACTTTCACACGTTACACGTGACAAACACTTAATATGTTTTTGAAACACGTGCATATACATATACTTCACATAGAAACATCTTCTATAGGGCTTTATGTATATAATGTCTTCTGATAAAGGACATTTCACATATATAGTCATATAACCTGGAAAGATCTCACGTCATTCGGGGCTGCTGATAAACATTTCACGTGTAGATAGATTACAAGTAAACATATGACATGCAAATTTCATTTTGAACAACACAATCATACATATGTCAAATGTAAATAGAATTACACGTAAACAGCTCATTTGAATAACTCTTTTCATTCACGTGAAGCTTTCACGTGGCAAAGCTTTTTCATTTTATACAATTTGCAAAGAAGATAGTCGGTTGCATATGAATATATATATATATATATATATATATATATATATATTTATATCCAAAAATATATTTTTTCCTATCTCATTAGTTATTCAACGCTTTTTCAGGTTTCGGAAATGTGTCGGCAACGACGGATTCTGAGAAAATCTTCACAATCATAATGATGATTTTAGGATGTAAGATATCAAAATAGATATTTTGCATTTTCATGAAACATATTTTTCTTTTCAGCTTTAATGTATGCTTCCGTATTTGGTAATGTATCAGCTATCATTCAACGATTGTATAGTGGAACAGCAAGGTAATAGCAAAACAACATTTTGTTACATACATAGACATGTTTGATGTTTCAGATATCATACGGAGATGTCACGTCTTCGAGAGTTTATTCGTTTTCATCAAATTCCAAATCCATTACGTCAACGGTTAGAAGAATATTTTCAACATGCATGGTCGTATACAAATGGAATTGATATGAATTTGGTTAGTACTATAAGCATATAGATCATGATGATGTTATTGCTGTTGAAGGTTTTAAAAGGATTTCCTGACTGTTTACAAGCTGATATATGTCTTCATTTAAATAGAAATTTACTTGTTAATTGTGGTGCTTTCAATGGAAGTACACCAGGATGTCTTCGAGCTTTGAGCATGAGGTATGAGATCAATAGAATCACATAACGTTCATTGAATTATGTATGAATTTGAAGGTTTCGAACAACACATGCTCCACCCGGTGACACTCTCGTACATCGTGGTGACATATTAACTGGCTTACATTTCATTGCCCGAGGCAGTGTAGAAATATTAAATGATGACAATACTGTAATGGGAATACTTGGTGAGTGATGAGCATGAATCCTCCTCCTTCCTTACGATTCTCCCTTCTTTCATTTTATTCCTCAAATATGGAAATGCATAAGTGAATTCATTGAAATTATAGGCAAAGATGATATATTTGGAGAAAATCCAATTCTATATGATGAAGTTGGCAAATCGTCATGTAATGTACGGGCATTAACATATTGTGATCTTCATAAAATTCTCAGGTAAGCTCTCTTAACTATGTGAATAGTTAAAATCTATATTCAGGGATGATTTACTTGATGTGTTGGATATGTATCCTGAATTCGCAGAAAATTTCTGTAAAAATTTAACTATAACATATAATTTGCGTGACGATACCCAAAGTACGCGAAAGAAATTCGATCGACACAAGCTTCTGCGTATGAGCTCCTCGAATCGTGAGCGACCTGTCGGATCTGAAAGTAATATTATATTAATTATATATTTCTCAAGCTAATACTATTCGTTATAGAAATGGAATGTTCATCAACAACAACGATGGATCGTACACGTCGAAGTGGAACAGATTCCGTTTCTCGTACGGATTCTAATCCGATTGATCGACGAACATCTGGTGGTACGTTCAGCTTCATCTTATGTTTTGGTTTTTTCTTTCATTTTTTCACTTTCACATTTTATTTTTGGAATATTAATTTTAAAAATAAAATAAAATAGCTTCATTTCTAACTTTCAACTTCTAACAAGCCTGGATATTCATTAGTTCACCTTTATAACCTTCGCTCACCTTGATTTGTAAAAAATGATTGAATGGCTTCATATCCCCTTCAACCTTATGTTCTTTCTTCCAATTATAATCTTTTTGCTTACAAGCCGTAGATTCTATCTATCTATTCTATTCTTTCAATTATTATTTTTATTAATAATTTGTAAGAACTCTGACTAACAGGTTCATATCGGTACTCTCCACCTCATCGAACGGAGATGACCCCAGTGCCACGGCGGCATGGAGGCATCGCTGCCGACGACGATGACAACGTCTTTGAGGATATTCGAGCTTTCAGTCGAGGCAATACGGTCACATTGCCTCCATCAAACTATGATAATGGTCTGTCCAGATGATCCTTCTCTTTTGTTATCTCTATCTTGATCTCTCAATCTGTCTATATCTCTCTCTCTTACTCTCCTTATCACAAATTATTTGTTAAAACTCTCCGGTTGCATCAACCCAACCTCTAAATGCTTCAACAAACTCTTTTAAGGCGATCTCCCAGTAGAGAGGGAACGAGATACAGAAATGAGAATATGTCAAATGGGTAGACGGCTTGAGAGTATCGAAGCGTAAGTTCAAAAACCATTTCAAATCACATATTTCATTAAATTATTTAATTTTTGCAGTGTTGTTGATCGAATACAATTGGCAATGAATTCAAATTTCGAGAAGCTTTTCAATGGCTTAAAAGAGTCGGGACGAATATCATCTGGTGGTCAAGGTAAATGATTTTTCTTAATTATGTATGAATTACACGGCTTTTCCCCCCTTTCTATCTCTGTATGTTTCACATATTCACACATACACTAGCACGAACTATTAGAAATGACGAAAAATCAGTTTTCTTTTTTCTTTTTTTTTTTTTTCATTTTTTCTTAATTTGATTTCATAATTGACAAAAGTAATCAAAGAATTTTCAAAATCATATAGAAAGTTAGTTATTCGGAGAATACGAAAAGTCCCAAAACATAATCACAACAACCAACAACACCAACCCCTTATATGATGATGATGAGTTTCTAAGCGATTGTATTGTACAGATAAGAGGTTGTGAAAACAGCCCCAATGATCATTAACTTCAACCAACTCCGTGGTACGTTCTTCTAATGTCTTTCTATAACTGCACGTCATCACCTCATATGCATGCTCTGTTTTCAAACAACAACAAGAAAAACTCTTTTCTAAACAGTTTTATTTGTATTTTATAAAAAAAAATTAAAAGAGAATGTTAGATATTCAGTTGTTTAACCTGTTTCTCTTTCAATCGCATGCAATTGGCCGTTTATTCATTCAATCCATTAGCTTTCATAACTATTTCAAAAAATATTTTATTTTTTTTGAAATAATTTTTTTATTTAATTTTAATTTGTTTTTATCTTCTACAATCCATGTAATGGAAGATATGACGATCATCATTCATTTCAGATTATCATTCGAGTAATTCTGATGCCGTTCGTGCTCGTCGTGTTGTTATAAATTCGGGTGAAACAGTACGTCTTCCAAATGGTGGAGAAGAAATACGTGTTAGTCGCTTAAGTAGCCATGAGCCAACAGCCCGAACACCATTAACAGCTGATACAGATACAGATACATTACTATAATACTTTAAAAGGTATAACTCTATCAATCATATAAGAAGAAGCTTAACCTCCTCTCTTTCAGATTTCACACATGTGCCACACTTCCATTACGGTCAACTAATACATCATTATTATCATCAAACACCTCATTATCCTTCATCTTCTTCATCTCCTTCTTCTTCTCCTTTTTTTTTATTTTTAATTCTCATTTTTACCTTATTTGGCATTTTTCATCATTTTTCTTCACCCACATTTTTGAAATATCTTCTTAGACTATCCGGTGTTCTGTGAATTTTCATAACCCGAGTACTTTCTTTTCCAATGCTCCGTTGTTTCTTTCTTCATTTTTTGAATCATTTGTTTCAAAATTTCTAGGAAACTCTCTTCCCTTCATCTCTCTCTCTCTCTCTATCTACTCCCACTCCTATCCTACTATCATCCTCTCTCTCTCTCTTCTAGTCATTTAGAAACCAAATATTTCGATCTCCACTTTCCCGGCGTGCCAAACCCTTTATTTTTTTTTTCATTTTTTTTACATTTTTTTGCTCTTCAATTTCCAACCAAAAAAAGTTTTTTTTTGTTTCACAAACTCCTTCCTTAGCTATTTCATTTTTTCAGAATATTCAGAATTTAGGTGACACATCGTATACATATAATTTAAATTTATTTTATTAAATTTTATCATTTGATTGTACGGGTTTCCCCTACCTTACTTGATGTCTTCTCCTCTTCTTCTTCCCTTTCCATCCCCAAAACTCCCAGTTCTGTCCCTTCTTCCTGTCACTATCCATGTTCCTTCCTTCTCCCTCCTTACCTCCCATCTACCATCCCGACCCTCTCTCTCTATCTTTCCTATATGTGTATATGTAGAAGAGGAAAAATAATAACAAAAAAAATTATATTTTCTATATATCTTATCGGTTGAAACGCTTCTTTCATAATAGTTTTCTTCTTCTTCTTCTTCTTCTTCCATAACAGCGTCTTAAACCAATTCTTTACTATGAATGACATCATGTTTGTGCCACTTTCAGATTTTTTTTTATTGTCTTTTTATATAAAAAAAATTATAAGAATATGTTGAGATTTATATCAATAAATATAATAAAAATTATAATTAAATACAATTATTAAATGGAGCCAGATAGGATGATGAGCTATACATAACTTCTCTTTGAAACATTCACAATAAGACAAATCATCTAAGGCACTTGCTCTAAATGTGAGATTCTTTAAATAACCTGTAATCGTCATAGAGAGAGAGAGAGAGTAAAGAGAGAATAAAGAGATAGAGAAAGAGAGAAAGCTTTGATACAGAGCTGAGTGTGAGAGACGAGGTGAGACTATAATCAACCGTTCGAAACTTTTTAAAAATGAAAAATGAAAGATGCTCACGTCAAACTCACGTGAAAATCATGAAAATAGGATCTATGCCCCATAAAGCATAAGATGAAAAGAAGATTATGGATTTAGCAAAATGAAATAATTCTAATCCCAGAGAGGTAAAATTAAAATTGAACTTTCTACATCAGAGCTCAACTATTTCATTTTTGATTGGCGATGAAGAGAGAATATAGAAAGCTGCAAGTAGACAGGAATATGAGCATAGCAATATCAATTTATTAAGCTTATTGACGAGCTGTTGCTGCTCGAGGTGTTGCAACATCTGAACAGAGCAATAAGCCGGATAGTTGTCCTTCGATGCTTTCCACTGTTGTTATGGGACGATCTTCAATGTTTCCATTTGTATTGGAGATTGTTGCAATTGGCGGAGGAACATAAGTTGGATCTTTGACAGATGATGACTTGCGTCGTTCTCTCATAGAGCTTGATGTACTTCCTGCTCTTAGATTATTTCTGAAATGAGTTAAGATGAAAGGTTTTGTTCAAGACTGAAATGACATACTTAAATGGATTTCCAAATCGTTTTCGATGTCCCATTGCTTTCACCAGAATCAAAGTGTCTAGACGAGGAATAACGCGAACGCAGTTTTCAATTTCTTCTTGAGTTACAGTAACCAGATGGCAGTTTTCTTCTTCGGTAGGCATTCGAACAGTACCTCTTCGGGTAACCCATTCATGACTCTAAAAATGGGAAACAAATTTGTAAACGGCTCCCTCTCTATGTTCTCACCTTGATCTCTGCCAACATCAGACGATGTCCTGGATCCTTTTTGAGCATTTTTAGAATCAAATCTTTACACAAGTCACTAATATGAGGTTCAATTGGAAATTCAACCGGTTCATGTTTGATTTTCTTATGCAAAGCAATTATATAATTATCCATGAAAGGAACCTATAACATTGAAAGTTGATAACCTATTATTCTGGGAATGTTAGCCGACCTTTCCAATCACGAAAGCGTAAAGTGTTATTCCTAATGACCAAACATCCTGAGCACGACCCGAATAAAAATGATTGGCACCTTCTGAAGACAAGAAAATTACATATTGAAAGTGAGCATATTGAATCAAACCTGTTAAAGCTTCTGGAGCCATGAAAGCTGGAGTACCAGCTGTTCCAGTAAGGAACGCATCTATTCCCTCAAATTCACAAGAAACTCCAAAATCAGCAATTTTCACATGACCCGTATCCGAAAGTAGAAGATTCGATGGCTTTATATCTCGATGTACAATCTTCTGATAATGTACTATAAGGTATAAATTTTATAGTTAACTATATGATATAGTATTAACATACAGTATTCCAAACCACGTAATGTGTCTCTAAAATATCTCCAAGCTGTATCTTCATCTAATGGTTTATCAGTAGGGATCTCTAGAATAGATCCTCTTTCAACATATTCAAATACCATATAAAGATAGTTATCATTTGGATCATCTAATACCTGGAAAATTGAATTATGCTAATTCAATTCATTATAGTTTACCTCAACAAGTTTAACAACGTTCGGATGACATAACTTCTTCAGTATAGCTATCTCTTTCTGAACCATTTGTAATGGATTTCGAAGAGTATTGGGAGCCAACTTATTTCGCCTTGTTGGAGGAGCTCCTTCAAATATTTTTTTGTTTAGTCTACAACTAAGAGCTTAAGCTTGAAACTTACGAAAACAGGCAAAATTCTTCAAAATTTTAACTTTGTCTAAAACTTTCAGTGCATACAAGTTTTTGTCTTCCTCATTGTAGGCGAGTTTGACAATACCATATGAACCCTTGAAAGGCTAAAAATTAGAGAAACATAGAATTTGTATTGTTCGGAGACGATCTACGTATAGACTGAACACGAAAAACGGCTAACATATACAAAAACGTCATTCTCTGAATGTATTCAGAGAATGCGAGAGAGAGAGAGAGAGTTGGATGCAAATCGTCTACTAAACTAACTGCTTAGATGCAAAAGCAGTGAAAATGATAAGATGAAAGTAAATATTACCTGTCCAATCTCTTCCATCAGGCGATACTGATTTAATTGAATATAGCTTAAACTCTTCTGATGAGCAACACTTCGGACAAGCCTTGTTGGTCGATTCAGATTTGGCGACATAGTCGTTTGAAAGTCCTGAAAAGGAAATCCCAAAATTAATCAGAAAAAAGAAAGAAAAAAAAGAATATTTGATGAAACAATAACACTTCTTCATTGCTTTTTTCTTTCTTGAAATGAAAAAATACAAATTTGCCGAATGAAATTCTCACGACGCACAGACAATTTGGATCAAATTTCCAATTGAAAAAGCTTTTTGGGCGGCATCACACAAAAAAACGAATTGAAAAAGCTTAACAATCAATGACATTCTATTGAAATTGATCAAAAGATGTACATGTAAGAGGCAAATGTCAAGTAAGCTGAGCATTCAAGGTAAAGCTCATGCAAATTGTGAATAAAATGAAATTTTGAAAGAAGAGAGACGAAGATCAATTTCCAAAAAGTTTGAAGGGCATTTTGGAGATGCAAAGAGTTGTGAAAATGAGATAAAAAGGATAAAGAGAGAACAGGAAGATGAGGAGAGAACTGACTTGGCAGAGAGGTAGATAGAAATAGAGAGGGAGAGAGAGAAAGAGAAAGAGAAAGGTACTTGACCAAAATCTTCATTTTCAACTAAATTTCTTCGGAAGCTTCTCTGAACACTTGTAAAAGAGCCAATTGAAGTATGAGGAGAGTAAGAAGATGCATCTCCTTATAAGGCGAGTTGGAAAAAAAAAGAAAAAAAAAAGTAAAAAAGCAATTACTTTCTTGTAAAATAAAAAAGATGAAGAAAATGAGGATTTACCTTTGTTTAAGAAACAATTCACTTTGTCTCTTTCTTTCTTCCATCAACTCATTACCGTCGAAACGATGATGGTAGTCGGGAGATGGGATAAAAACATTTTTTTTTGCATTTTGCAAAAAAAACAAAACAAGAACGTCATGTGAGAACATCAAGAAATTAATGGGGTGAAGCAGACTGTGCTTAAAGTATGGAAAACTTTCGAAAGGTTAACGAACATATCCTGAGATGAGTCGGTCGTTATGCCCTCAGGCGATTGTCCGTAAAAGGCTCTTTTCTAGATGATGATGTTGGAAGGCTTCATGACTTACATGCAATTTTCAGTTAAAAATGAAATAAGAGCGAGAGTAAGAGAGTACGAGTAATTCAAAAAGCCAAATGAACTTTTTCCGAATAAAATAATTAGTTTTGTAATTTAAGGATTACGAAGAAAAGCTGGGCTCAATTCGCCTCCACAATATGCAATTTTTGCTCTCTTATCATGATGATGTTGCGAGTATAAAAAATATCTGATAATTGATTGAAAGAGAAGTGTGAAGAGAAGGAAGAAAAAAAACACATTGAAATGATCATGGAGGAAGTTGTGAGAAGCAAAATTCGGATATCATCAATCATTCTGACTCGAAAAAGGCTTTTCACTACGTTCCACTTCATAGGATGTGCATAATAAACGATAATCATCCACAAATTTGAGATGAAAATTAAGAAAAATGCGAATCTTTGATGTTCTTTCATGTTGGAAGACGTTCAAGTTGAGAATGGAAAGAGAGAGAGAGAGGGAAAAGAATGAAATGGTGATGGCTGAGAGTCAGCTATGTTCGGAAATATCAAAGGAATCTTTAAATATCAGCTTGTTCGAAGACCGAGCCGAACGGAAGGAAAGGAAACAAAATTTATTTTTTCAAACTTTGAAGATTATGGAAGGATGTTCGGAAGATGATTCGGAAAGCTTTCCTTTTTTGGAAACAAACTACGTCCACTGTTGTTTTCTTCTCACAGAAACTATCCGAACGATAGAAGGTTTTTTAAAAGTTCACATGATGGCAACACTCACACACACACACAAAAAATAAAGACAAAATGAGTTTAATGCATTGGAAGAGACAGTTTGATGATAAGTTTTTATTAAAAATTCATTTGTCGACATCAGAATTCTTGAGGAAGGGAGCTCTAAGAGGAGGATGGGTACGATGAGGAACGAGAGACAAAGGGCGAAAAGAGGGAGGGACGGACGGAGTTAAAATGGAGTAAAATAAGCTCAAAAGACGATGTAAGCTATAGAAATTGTTTGATAGATGGCAAAAAAAGGAATAAAGAGTCTATGATAGGCCTTCCTTAGGGAATAAGGAACAATATCCTCAAGATTCTACTAGTTTCGTCGTTCGAACGAGGAAGGCGAAAAGGAGATGCAGAATGGGATTGGTGAGGGAGAAAGAGACAGAGAGAATGAGCCGGGAAGAAAAAAAAGTTTGAAGAGGAATGAAGAAGAAGAAGAAGAAGAAGAAGGAGCGGGAAAGGAAAAAGACCAAGATACCCAGGTGATCAAATATTCAAAGGCCAAGTCAGAGCTTTTTGTTATTGAAAGTTTCAAAGAAGAAAAAAAAAAGTTTTTGGACATTTCATGCCTGAGTTAACTGAATTCTCCTTCTCTTTTTCTTTTTTTTCTTTAAATTTTTTTTGAAAAATAAAATAACAAACAATAAATTGAATATTTTGAGAAAAATTGATTATGGAAAGGTCTGTCGATGAGGAAAATAGTGAGAATGAAATAAAAAGTAATTTAATAAGAAAACAAGGATAAGAAGGAGCAGCAGCAGCAGCAGAAACAGCAGCAGGAACTAGAGCAACAGCTATTGAGGGGGATAAGCTGTAGAAGAGGAACGCGCTAAAGACGTGAAGAACAACCGATCGTCGTCAAAACACAATATGGAAATGAAACTTGTACGTATTAGCATGAAGCTGCGCACAAGGAAGATTTGAACGAAAAAAAAATGGAAAAAGAATATTTATAAATGAATTAAAATGGAATAGTCTTCTGTGATGCATTTGACAGATATTTTAAGGAGAAAATTGGCATTAAGAGAGATGGAAAGGGAGGGTTGGGAAAGAAAGAGAAAGAGAGAAAGATAGAGATTGAAAAGGCAGAGAGGAAGTAAGATATGAATGATAGAAGGGAGGGTGGATCGGAATGGATGAAGAACTTTGAACAGAACAACGAAAAGATATTTTAAAGACGGAAAGGATGAAGAAGGAATGGTGTCGTCAAAATGCTCTGTCGGTTTGACGAGCTTAAAATAATTATTTCAATGAAATATCATTAAGATTACAAACATTTTTTGCTCCTTCTCATCATTCTCTCTTTATCTTCTTCTTTCTCTCTCTCTCTGTGCTCGTCTGATAGTCATTCTATCACTCTCTCTTTCTTTGTCTATCTAACTCTTTGAACAGTTATTGACGTCGTTTAGAGCTTTTTGAGAATGGAGCACGTTTTCAAGCAAATTAGTCAATTGGAGCAGAAATGGACTCTCTTTACTAACATTAAATATTCATTGAATTTTAAAATTTGTAATATTCGAAGCACACAAAAAATGAAATATGAAAGATGAACGACAAAAGGTCGATGAATGATAAAGAACATAAAAAAGAAAATTATATATTCATCAATAAACCATACATTGAGCTTATGGCGTAAGAATGCGAATAAGCAAATTGAAATGGATTGTGTAAGACCATTACCTGACTTGTTGTTGCTTGATCGTCTTCAACCGCACTCGAACGAACTAGTCGACGTTGTCCTGTCGTATCACTCTAGAAAAATGAAAACCTTATAATCAACTTTATTCGCTTTATAAGTCTCTTTATCTCATTTACTCAGAATATTTGGCTAAAAAAAGAAATTTCATTTCTTGCACCTCTCCTCTCCTTGATTTACAATGGACTCTTGGAGGTTGTATCTCTTTCTCTTTCTCTGCTTGTTTTTCCCTTGTTATCTCTAACTCTCTATATTTATATCTCTTTTTAGATATTTTTATTCTTTCTCACAGCTTTCTCCTACGTTTTCATTTTCTACGTAGAAGTTATCTTTGACTCTCTTAGCTGCCTGTCTTTCCCTCTCTTTCGCTCTCTCTTTCTAGATGTCATACCTCTGTCTCTCTATCAAAGTCATTGCAATAAACTCCGTCTTATGTTGAATAAAATAATAAATTATGATTCAAAATGTTTGATTAAAACAAATTTATGACTAAAAAAGGGAATAAAACTGAAAGAATGAAAGACAATTTCTCTTTACTCATATTCATTTTTCATTAATTTATTTGTATAGTTATGAGTTAACAGAATCAGCCTTCCACCAACTTTTGGTCTTTTTACAAACAAAATTTGTATTTTTCATGCAAAAAATCTCATTTTATATTAACAAGTTGTATTCAAATTTGCCTTAAACTTTATTTGAAAAAGTAAAGTTGAATGAACAGGCATAATTAGCATATTCAAGATTGACGTAAAGCCCTCTATCTATCTCACGTGCAACGTACATCATCACACATACTTCTTATATGATTTCATGGTATATTCACAGTGTGGTTGCATTCATTCATCTCTCTCTCTCATATATTATACAAACTCATTATATACTAATACTTAAACTATCCATAAATATATGATATAGTTAAAAGATGACATACCTGTTGTCGAACCATTGAACTGGCCGTTAAGAATGTCCGTGAAACGGATGGCCGGTCCGGATCACCAATCATCCTGCAAACAGAGAACATTAGTTAGAAGCACTGACAGACAAAAAGATAATACAAAAATAGATGTTAAAGGGAAAAAAATATTTAATCGTCTGTTATCTTCTTAACTATATGTAAGTTGGTTATTATAGTGGGTGTTTTGGCAGTTTTGTTATATCTGTCTCTCTCTTTCTATCTCAGTCCCTTCTCTTCATCTCTCCCTCTGTACGCCTCCTTTTCCGTGTGACAACTTAGAAGACAATCAATAAATTGTTTTTATTGAGAAAATATAAATTTTTTTTCTCTCTTTTTTTGGCACATAAATAATGGAAAACAGTCTTTATGGCTAATTTTGACTTTTAAATTCATTTTGGATCATTCTCTCTATCTCTATTCTCCCTCCATCTTTCGCACAATCAACTGCTAACAGCTCCCTCTTCTAACATTTGTCTTTTTCGCCTCCACTCTCGTTTTTTGCATTTTTCTCTTCTTGTCTTTCTATCTCACATCTGGTGCATAGAAGGTGGAAAATAAAAATATTAATCTTGGATATTATTTCATCTTAACTATATCATATAATCAAGCGAAATGGGCTTTCAATACAAAATTTATGTGAACAAGTCTTAAAACATAAATTTTTGGAAAGGTTCTCTCTCATTGAACAGATAAGAGACAGACGAAGGAATAACGGGATATATAGAAAGCAAGAGAGAGAGAATTTCCTCCCTCCAATTGAAATAAAGGGTAGCGGAGGGAGGGTGGAAGGAGAAGATCGAATTACGACAAAAATTATAAAAAGGCTGATATTTCAAATTCCCCAATATGTCTGAATGGATTATTTTGAAGTTGATTGAGAAGAAAAGTGTGAAACATGATGATGAAAATGAATTTTGTTCCTCAAAATGTTTGGACGATAAGTGAGGGTGAGCTTAACAGACAGCAACAGCAGCAATAGATAATGAAGATGACGTTGACGTCTGACGCAGACGTGGAAAAAGTTAAAAAGCTTTTTCGTGGGACAAGATGGATAAATGAAAGAATAAGATTATTTTGTTCCTAAAAGAAGAAGGAGGAAGCTATGATAGATGTTGAAGGAAGAAACAAGGTATGGAGAGATAGATAGATAGATAGAAAGATAGAGAGATGAAGAAGATGGAGAGTACAACAAGAGGACATTCAGCTCTAGTTCAATTCATACGATTTCATAATGGATCCCAAAAACGGGGGTGAGCAAGAAGAAAACGACTTAAATGGGAAAATTGTTGAGAAACGAAGGAAAAACCTAATTATATTGGAGGGGGGGGGGGGAAATGTGATCAATTAACAAGGGTTATTTCACTATTTTATAATGAAACTGAAAGAAGAGGCAGCGTTGCCGATGCGCCATCTTCGTCTTCGTTTTAACAGTTTAGACGACGAAACGGAGAGGAAATGTTGCCGATGGCATTTTAAGCCAAACACACAAGTCAAAAAGGCTCAATGGGTTCAAAAAAGGAAAAGCTGAGAAACGAAAAATCTTTTGGATCTATTGATGATGTTCTTAAGCTCTTCTCTTTCTTTTTTCTTTTTCTTCTTTTTTTTTTGATTAAATGAAACAGCCATATGATTGTTTGAAGAATGAATACTTTGAAGAGATAGAACATCTGTTTGTCGAACAAGCTACATAGGCTACAAGCTTCTGAAGTTGGCTGATAATGGAAATATTATGAAAAGACAATCGAAAATGAGTTAAAGAGGAAAATTACAAAAACTTTGGAATAAACAAACAAAAAAATTTTCTAAATGGACAGTAAAATAGATGAAAAGGCAGAGAAATAACGAATTACTTTCATAGGCTCATGAAGCTACTTTCGTTAAAACCCTTCAGCACGTTTACGGATAGAGGGAAAGCGAAAGACAGAAGGAGGGAGTGAGAGAGAGAGGGAGAGAGAGATGGTAATGAGAGATTTTAAAGAGATATTTAATAGAGAGAAAGAGAATCAGAATGGCAAAGATTGAAAGAGAGCTCAGCTTAAAAATGGAAAAACTGAAGAAATACGACTATAATGAATGAGATATTCAAGAGAAGCTGGGCATCTAGCTAGTGAGCATAGACATATATGGAGAGCCTCGACTGAAAATAATCAATGGCGACACCCAAAAGCATAGGGTAGATTGAGCTATGAAATAAAGAGAGAGAGAAACAGAAACAGAAACAGAGAGTAGAAAGGAGATGAAGGGAAAGAACAAGAAGGAGGGAAAATGAAGACAGAAAGAGAGAGAGAGATAGAGAGAGAATGCGAACGAGGGAAACGGAACCAAGAACTAGTAGTAGTAAGGCGAGAGCTATCTGCTTTAGATCCAGCACATCAGCTTCTCTTCATTTGAATGAAGCTAAGACATAGAAGCTTCCATTACTTTGCCGTCTTTTCCCCTTTTCAATTCACCGAAACTTCATTTTCGAAAAAAAAGGCCCCCAAAAAAATGTTTTCTTATTGTCAATGTTCAATCATATTCCGTGTCCTTTTTGACATAAATGGCAGCAAGACGAGGAAAACTAAGAGTAATGGGTGAATAATTTAGGAAATTTCCTTTTATCAAAGTACAAATATGGATATATATGTGCACGGAAGATTTCATATAGAAGGTATGAATAATCCTTTTCAGAAACCAAATTCAGCTTCCTCATTTTCATTTTACGACTACGACTACAACAGCTACTACTACTACTACTGCTGCTGTTAGTGCTGCTGCTGTTACTGATACTACTATATGAGTCTTCATCGTACAGGGTAGGATGGCACAACGAAGGATGGAACAAGCTTTGACCAAAAGAAAGAGAGAAAAAGGGTTTTGGCTAGCTTTGCCTATATCACATACGCAAACACACACAGCCATATACATAACGTCGTTGAGATAGTCAAATGAAGGACAATATACGGACAATGATCAAAAGAATAAATGAAATTTAAGAAAGCTATTGCCATTGTGACAATGTTGTTTGAAAACGGAACCAAACAAGAAGAAATTGAAATGAATTTCTGTGGTGCTGTTGGCCATATTAGGATATTTGAAGTTTTCTCACCCAGTTATGGCAATTGATTTATCGTCAGGTGGAAAGAGACTCATAAGAGTCCGAGAGTTGTTATGAAAATGCGATGTGTGTGTGTGTGGAACAGAAAAAAAGGCGTTGAGAAGAAGAAAAGAAAACGTTGAAACGGAAAATTTTCTTCATTTGTCAAAATATTTTTCGGATGAAATGACTAAAAACCTCAAAATTCACAGTCGGCTGCTGAAAAATGGATAAGTTACTCAGATTCTCTCTCTCTCCGTGAAGCTATCTCTTACATTCTCTCTCTCACTTTATCTCTCTCTCTCTCTCTATAAATATTTCTGTGGAATGAGCCGCTTTTATCTTTTTAATGAAAATCAATTGAGAAAAGAAAGATTATATGCTATTATTGGGAATTTAGAAAAATTAAAAAGATAAAAAAACAAAGATTTATGTGTTGTACACACAGACAGCGCGTACTCGAGCGACGAGAAACGGAGAAAGATGTTGCCCTAGGCAACGAATAATCTAAGGTTATTTGTCATGAAATACTCTTTAATAAACATTAAAAGAGAAATCTCATTCTCTCTCCTTCTCCCTCTTTCCTTCTTTCCCTTCTATTAACTATTCATTCATATCTATCTCTCTATCTCTCTCTCTATCTCTCTATCTCCCTTACTACCTTTCCTATATCTGCTTTTCTAATTTTAACATTCAAAAGGTGAATATGAAATAGAAATATATAGAGGGAGGATATCTTTCCTGTTTACTAATTAACCACTAGAATAGTTTTAATCCGTGTTTGGTTTATATATCCTCTCTCCCCCTCCTTCCTCTTGTTTTCTCTCTCTCTCACTCACTCTTTCTCTTTTTCTCTTCTACGGCTTTTGATTTCCACAGAACCAATCATTTTCTCTTCTTTTCTCCTTCTTGTGATTGACTAGAAAGGTTTTTTTTTCGTTTTCTTTTCGATAGCAAAAATCATACTCTCCCATACTCACGCAGCCGTTCATAACATATTTCAAAAATGCTTAACAATCTCATTTTTTTTGACAAAAATAAAAATCGTGATGAGATTGCAAAAATGCATAGTTAAAAAGAATGAATGAAGAGTAGGAGAGAAAGAAAATAAAAATAAAGACATTCGTAAAGGGTCTCGAAGTATATAGAGGCCTTAGAATCATAGCGAACACAACGCATGCGGCCGAAACCCTCGGCTTAACATCCAGATTTGGATATAAGGAAGAAATTATGAATAAAACATAATCAGACATATGCATAAACCATACATATTTCATATGCTCGTCTTATATATTTACTTTAAATTCAAAAAAGCTAATATATTCCGAGAAGCATTGTAGAAATAGAAGAAAAAAAATAAAAAAGAAAAGGTTGACGAGAGTGACGCATGCTGTGCTCATGGTTCATGCAGAACATGACTTACACTTGCTGTGTCTATATCTGTAATCAGTTTTAATAATCATCGAAGAAACATTAATTGAGTGAACTATTCAATAATTTCATTTTTTATTAAAAATAATGTGTGATAGCCTTTCTATCTAATTCATTCAATTTTCCTCACTCCCTCGCATTTGCACGTGCAATGCCACATATCCCCTACTTTCTATTCTATCTTAGTATTCGCTATTTACTACAAACCATACGATTCGTTATTTTCCTCAAAAATGTCGAAATCTGTGTTTGAGTGAGTCGCCACTAGGGGACACGCCAAATGGACAGTGCACTCAGAATTCGGGTATTGAGAAGACTACATAACTTTAGCTAAATGAGCGAATTAGCCAGAAGCCGAAGGACCCATTGATTAGAATATAGCAGTTGATGAGGAATGATGGCAATAATTATGTGGAAGTCTGAACAGCATGAAGAAGAGCAAGAGAGAGAGAGAGATATCAGAAGAAGATGTTCAGAAGGAATGCACATGTGTATTTCTGTTATAATCGGTCGTATTCAAGTTTCAATGTACAGTATGTAGACATTACAGTTTAAGCTTAATTGTCGAATAAACTGGCGTACTTTGAATAATTGAAGGAAAATTAGTATCATTAAAACAAACCAATCATTCCACTGTCTCAGCTTATCCACCACATTCTCCGGAATCGATGGAATAGTCAACGAGTAGCGAGCAAATGTCTGTCTCATCATTGCTTTTGAACTGAAAATGAAATGTAATTTTACAAAAATTATATTTCGATAGTTAATGAGAACATCGTTTACTACGAATAGTATTAAGCTGAAGACAGAATTCGTATAAGTGCATGCATCAGCTAAATGAATAACAAACTGTCTTATGTAAAATTAAAAAATAAATGTATGAAAAAGGCCAAAAAGACAAAAACATATGATAAAAATAACCTCTTAGATGGGGTATTTGAAATTCAAATGGATAGAAAGGTTAATGAATGCAACCGCTCACACAACAATCTGGCGTTCAAAATGAAAAAAAAACGCTCACGCAATTTGCACGTGATAGAAGTGACCCGCCGCTCATATGCTAATTTGCATGGAATTACGACGAAGTTGAAGTATCATATGCATTTTCATTTTTCAAAACCTCTCTATGGGCAATGAAAATTCTTGAAAATGAAGCAAAATTTCGATTTTTCAATGTTTCATCATTTCAGATTCATTTTCACAAGGGCAGATAGTCAATTTCGTCGGTAATTTTAAATGAAGACACAAAATATATTGCATGAATCTTTGAAGTTTAAGAAATGAAGAAAACGACAAAAATAAGTTTAAAAAGAAAAAAAATGCTGTTTAAAGCTTTACATTAAGCTAAAAGCAACTATTGTCAGAATGAGCTGAAGATTGAATGGATAGACATGGGAAAAGAAAACGAGAAGAAACTGCTCCCTAAAGCGGATGTTCTGATGATCATTTACTTGGCGACTGACTACTTTACCATAGAAGGAATCAAATCAAATAGTTCATGGATGTGAGCGATTCATCAGTTCTCTCTGCTCAATTGCTCAGAGTATTTTCTAATTTTTACGGCAAATGAGAGTATGCAGCGGAAACGGAGTATAGACTCTCAGGAAAAATTCATTTTTTTATTGTTCAAGAAGTCTTTTTTTTATGTTATTTTTAGAAACAGGGGAGAAGGTGAACAGAGCGGAATGAAAAGAGTGAAAATATAAACTAAAAAAACTATAATGCTCATGAACGAAAAGATATATTCTGTACATGGACGGCGGTAGACGAGATTGGTAAGACAGCTGACAATTCAACTACAGATGAAACTGGTTATGCAAAATAATCAAATTGACGAGCATGTTTCGAAGAATAGAACGATGATGATTTAGAAAAGTTCAAAAATGACTCGCATAATGCTTCATCTTCTTTCAATTTTACGACCAACTCAAGCAACTTTTCGGAAGAGCATGCAGATGGAATAGCCGACGAAGGAAAGCTCAATTCGAGTCATGAATTGAAAGAACTGAATGAAGGCCGTAAGAGGACGTTCAATTCTAACCAAAACAGTGTAGTCCTTGAGCCAAAATAACCAGTAAATGGTCAATGTCATCACTGACAGAGCTAATCATTGCTCGAGGATAAAAACAACGGCGCCCATATATATATATGGCTAATGACAAGACCTCCTCATATCACACAGATCTTTCTCTCTCGTTTTTTTTTAAACAAAACAAGTAAAAAAAAATCTCAGCAAAGCGGAAACGACTCAACAAAACAATCTTTTGCCCCAACTAAAATACGAAACTCCGCTTCCCTCACATTATCAAAGCTCATGAAGAAGTTGAGAAACATTCTCAATATTTTTGAAAAAAAACATTTCACATTTCATATGAGTGAATGGTTCCTTTCTACATTCCATATAAAACAACAACACAAACTTATTTGATCAAGAAAGAGCTTCGTAATAAACAAATAAATTTTGTTGACCCCCCCAAACAACCGTCTTTCCTTTTCCACTCAATCAATCCGCGATCTGATCATTCTCTTGCTCCCGATATGAGAAAAGATCTGAGTGTAGGCCCTTCAATGTCTTCAAAAAGCTTCAACCGTTTCTACAAAAAAATGCAAGAGAGCCATATGAAATGACATAAACGAGAACATGACGCACAACCATGACCGGAAACATATAACAACTGGATGAATATTATCCATTCGAATGCAACCGCTCTACCCGCCGTATCGCGAAGAATGTTATCTGCTCCGAGCGCTCGACATTTGGCGCTCTTCAATTTTTTTTAAATTCTCATAGCATTACGATAATTCTGTCACGTTCCGTCTTTAGAGATAAGCTTCAGTTAATAAGTTCATTGATAACATTGAATTCCGTCCATATTTATTATTCGACACTTGACATTTTTTGAAAAATAGATATTATGACGAGTTTAAAAAGATACAAAGGATACAAGTTATGAAAATCAGTAAAAAAACATCAACAGCAAGAAATCCAGTCATAAATACAACTGCTATCGATAAAATACTAAAGGCCTATACGAGGAGAAGAGCCCGAACTGGTTCTCCCATCTTCGGTCTACTTCAACTAATCAGAAGAAAGGCTGTATATAAAGGAACAAGACGTTACAGTAGCAGCAATACGTGTACTGGAGACACTTGCGAAAAAGGAATCACAATGAAAGGGACTAAGTCTCTCGCAAAAACAATAATTAGAAAAAGGGCATGCATAAAAAAGGATACCGTACCCAAAAACGAGAGCTTTTGGCCAATCACTTAATAATTTGGCAGTGCAGACGCAGTCCACAGTGGCCACTAGTCTACAAGGGTGAATGGCCGGAGTTATATTTACATTATTTAAGGAATTCGTTTTGTCCGAACTAGCAGAAGATTACAAAATTAAACCATATAACCATTGGTCAACAGTGGTTTAGAATTAACTATCAATATACAATACGGACAATTCGAAGCAGAGTTACTCTGTCAAACTATGTTTCAATAATTAAAATAATAGTTAGTAGTTGGCTACATGACCTTAATAAACATTTTGGGAAATCTTTCCCGAAAGACTGCGTGGTAACATATTAATCTATAAATGAAGAAAGCACAATGGTAGAGGAATCTGTTGAGAAGTGGACGTCAAACTGCTGAGTAATAGTTTAGCATTGGGCTTCCTTATGACAATTTTTCTGCACATTCGTCGAGATAATAGCAGTTTTAGCACTAGAGTGATCACAAAATATGGATTGAGGTTGGGTAATTTCAATAGCATCACGGAAGGCCTGGCTTACAACGTTCTACTGGCATGATGGTAGTCATTTGGTTTCCTTATTACTTTTGGTGATGCACAGTGAGAAATCTTGAGTAGTGAAAGAGCAGATACGACACGAAACGAGAAGACAACTGCAGGCAGTGATACGTGATTAGAAGTACATATTATATTATAATTTAATCCCATGCATTGGGAGATGGTGGCAATTCCGATGCTTGGGCAACAGATGAGCTAAAAAGATATCAATGAGATAACGAATCTTAGATCAGTAGACTTACTTGGCAAAGTTCTTGTATGCAGCAGAACCAGGATTGATCATTAAAGGCGTTCCGTAGAGTGGTATTCTCTCCGTAACAAATTTGTACATACTTTCCCTAAGTTCGAACATGGACAATCGGGCCAACTCCCTCTCCCATTTGGGATCAAAAGGTTGCTCATGCTGAAAAAACAAATATTGCACGAAATACAAAAATAACGAATCTCACCGATGGATCGTAATCGATTGTGAAAACTCTTGTGTTATTTGCTTTTGTATAGCAGCAAGAGCACATACATGAGTGGAATCTCATTCGTCCATCAGCCAAGTATTGGTGACTAAGGCACATTTCAACTGTTGCTCTTTTATCAGGATCGAATTGTAACATCATTGAAAGAAGTTCAATAGCCTCTTGGGTTGTTGAGCTGCTAAGCTGATAAAATTTATGAAGTGCTGGTACACGGTATGGTCCACGAGCAACGTGGTTCTTGGCACCGTCACAAGCATACTTCATTTCGTCTGGTGATGGAGTTCCCAACAAATCGATAATCATATTCAACTGAAAAATGTGGAAGTGTAAATATGAAAATAGAGACTAGTAGTACCTGCTCGATTGGTCCCTGGGCTTGGAACAATATTCTGCGCCCTAAGAGCTCAGCGAAAATACATCCAACAGACCAGATATCAACAGCACCCGTATATCTAGAAAAATAAGAATAGTAATATTATAAACTATAGATTATATATATATATATATATATATAGATATAAGGTGAAAAACCTACTTTCTGGCACCCATAAGTAACTCTGGAGCACGGTAGTATTGAGTTACTACCTCATGTGTCATATTTTGTTTTTCTTTACAATCCCAAACACGGGCAAGACCTAAACATAAGAATTAATAGGTTAGACACAACAACATTGTTCCCTACCAAAATCACAAATCTTGAGAATACAATTGCTGTTAACTAACAAGTTACCGGGCTTAATATCTCTGTGTAGAATATTAGCTGAGTGTAAATATTTGAGTCCTGTAATTGTTAATTAAAAATATTTTTTTCAAAAAACAAATGTGCTACCTCTTAATATCTGATAAACGAAGACCTTCACGTGGTCGACAGTCAATGGTTGTGGAGAGACGATAATCTTATGTAAATCACTTTGCATTAATTCCGTAAGGACATATCTGTAAGCATCAAATGAGATCATCGACCTTTCCCATCATATTATTCTGAGTTTCAAAGTTTTACAGCCTTATTATCATTTAAATCAGTTTTTTGCTTCCCAAACCATAATAGTGTCGACCGTTGTTTTGGCTAGGATAGAAAGGATGAAAGAGTAGTAGGGCTATTCCGAGCCAGGCCGTGTCGGGAACCACGACCTCCAGCCAAGCAGTTTGTGTCAGTGTGAGAGAGAGAGCACAAGACGGCAGCACCCTATACCCTACCCAATGTCCCTAATAATGGAGGAATACACAACACAAATAGTAAAGATTAACTAACACTCATACAGAAACCCCCTTCGTTCCCTTTTCAAGAAATACACAACTTTCTCCCCCCATTAGCTCTCATTCTGCGTAGATTCGGTTAATTTATAAAACCACTTTCCCTCAATTTTGAGCGGTTGGTTATCCTATATGTCGGGAATATCAGATTTGGTGGAAAGTAAAATCTAAGCCAACAAGTGAAAGCAGCGGTAACCTTGTCCTCCTTTCGCCTTCAATCAGTTGAAATTCGCTTTCGAAATGGGAAAATGTTCCATTTTGTACGCTTTCTATAATAGCAACGAAGAGACGGAAGAATGATATTGAGGTCAAACACACAACAGTACATTCTCTGAATCTTCCGATCACATATATGTAAAGTGCAATCTCACAAAATCTCTCCTCATCTCCACTATTACAAAACTCCTTCAAATTTTCGGTGAAGATTCGAAAACTCCCAAAAACCAAGAATTTATGACAGATGGCCCCAGAGAAATCGATTTCCTGTTCTATCTTTTCTTCGTTCTCTCTCATTCTCTCTTTACTTATCCCCTATTGTTTTGGTACAGTTGAGGTCATTCTGGTCAAGTATGCGCCCGGGCACAAAATCAGAGGTACCCCCAGCCAGATGAACCCTCAAAAGATCTATGATTGCGAAAAACTTACAGTTCTTGGAAAAAATGTGGACTAGTAGGTTGAAGAATATCCAGAAGGCAAAGAACATTATCGTGTTTGAAAGATGCGAGCATTTTGATCTCGCGGAACACCCGTTTACAAGAAGCTAAGTTTTGAAAGACGTTGGGCATTTTCTTCAAAGCTACCCGTTTCCCACTACGAGGATCAGTAACCGACCTGTAAATAATAAAAACGTTATTAGTGTTCAAAACCATGGTAACCTACCAAACAACTCCGAAAGCACCATAACCAATAGGTCGATCGGGTTGGGCATCTTGCACTGGTACAGCGGGGTAAAATGCTTGACCAGCGGCGGCCAAAATAGCATTCGAGACATGATTTGCCTGAAGAAAAAGAAAATAGAAAAAAGTTTTTATTATATGATTATAATACCAAAATTTTTTGAAAGTACCGTATAAGACTTTCAACTAATGCTATAAGGTACATGCCTCCCAAAGACTTTGCATCGAATCCTTTTCCGCAAGAATAGGATTTTAAGAAAAAGGTAGATTCGAAGTTCCTTAAAAAGCCACGTGACTAATAAGAATCATACGAATAAACCGGCGATTATGCTTGAAACAGACCGACGAGATCTGAGAACCGGTCGACAAGATATAAATCAGAAAAGGAATGTGTTTGGGTATAGGATCTCCGCTCTCCAACTAACAAAAAATATAAGATTTCGTGAGGCTTAAAGTAAGGAAAAGAAGTTAATGATCAAGAAAAGAAGCTATGAACAAACAAGGAGAGAAATTTTGTTCAGAAAATAGAACGTCTTTTCGGTACACACGAAATGATTTGTTTGAAACGGTGATGGTGGTGCCATACCAGCTGAATCAGGTGAGATGAGAGAACGAACATTTGCGAGCTTCTCACACATCAGCTGTGATTTCAGTCTGTGCTGGTCATTTGCTAGATCCGAAATCGTTTAAACCTATTCTGCGCTCTCGTAATAGAATTACATGAAAGGTTTCGAGAAGAAAAGCTAAATCAAACAAATCGATAAAGGGAAAGAAGAGTGCAAAAGTTTAGCAAACGAATAGCAAAGTAGGCATGCTCCCACTCAAAGAAGCTGCGTACTATAAGCAAAAGTTTATAAAATTTGGAATAATGAACTTGATAAGAGTAGACGTAAGCAAGAGAGAATTGAATGTGTACATGGACGTACACATATGATCACACATGTTGCTTTAATGTGATAAAGGAATCACGTGGTTTCAGCTATATGATTGTTTAAACTTTCTCTCACGAAGGGGAATCACAGCGCACTATCGCAGCTGATACCCCTCCAATGATATTCTATTGCGTAATAGAGGGATATTTCTTTGTTGAGACATGTACATTTCTAGCTTTAAGATTGAAAACTGGTTAAAAAATCTTACCTGTGGAATAGCTTGTTGAGGAATCTGTCCAGGCTTATTATCTTTCTTCAGCTGCTGTGGAGGAACTGATGCGGTAAACATAGGACCAGGTCCTACCGAAGCATGCGACACGAGAGCCATGTCACCTAGAAGAATTTGAATTAAGAGAGAATCAAGCGGAGTAGAAGCTGAGCAGATTGTATAGGATGTAAAGGCGAGCTTAGCGAGTATTGACCTATTTGGAAGGAACGTTCAAATAGTAGACTGCTAGACAGCGAACGCTACGCATCACGCGATAGAGCAGAGAAAGAGAGCTTTGAAAGTGCCCACGACATACAGAAAGTACAAATGTCTTCTACTGAATACCTCCGTACTTAAACCTTGTGAACTATTTAATAGAAAGAACATCAGAAAAAGTGCACATTCAGTTATCTTTGGTCTGAGTTCACATAAGCTCATCTGAGCCGAAAAAGAGCAATGGCAGAATCAAAAACTAATGCAAGAATCAAGGAAGTATTACTTACCGACGACAATGTTCTGATGAACTATATCCTGCAATTGTTGATGCAAACGTTGCAAGTGTTGCTGAGCTATGTGTTTAGCGAGATCCGTTTGCGAGTAAAATGGTAAAGCTGCTGAAATTTAGAGAGTGAGGAGTTGAAAATAAGTTCGAGTCTTTGATGTTTTGACCGAACTAACACGATGAGCTCGCCGTGTCAAGGTTGGATCGTATCCGATTAGAAAACATTGTTATTCATGTTTACAAACAAAAGATAAAACCAGGCAATATAATTTATAAAATAATAGACAAAACCAACCTTGTTGAGCTGCTAGTTGCTGTTGTTGCCGTACTAGATAGGCTTGTGTTGCCAAATCAAAAAATTCACTGCAAGTAGCCGAGGAACTGCAGCCGGACGACGACGATGATCCTGAAGAGAAGAATGGAATTAATTTTCGAACAAAGAATATATATAAACAATATATGGTATGAGTGAGGGAAGATGACGGCTAAATTATAAAAAGCTAAACGGACAGAGTTGAAAACAATATTGATTCTTAGACGGACATATAATTCTCGGAAAGTGCCAATGGGAGAGAACGCCAATACTCGGCCATTTGAACCAGAAAAGATGCACAAGGCATACTTAACTAGTCGGCAGACAATCGGACGGATAGGAACACTATAGAGGATAGAGACGGAGAGTGGGAGAATATACTTGCTGTAATGACAGAGTCATATAGAAACGTCCTCACAGTTATTCAATCACAAGGTCAGTTGCGGTCAGTTGGTATCTGATCCATAAACTGTGCAGCTTAATTAGAATTGATCCGTAGTAACAGTAAATTCAAGAAACCTTGCGATTCGTGACACCCTCGAGTAAGAACGAACTATGACGAGAGGGATTACAACGAACGAAATATTTCGTAAATGGTACACAGTTTTTCATCATGAAGGTTAGGCTATTTGGTCACTCGAGGCGCAAAATCGCTTTTTACCTCTTAATGCACATAAAGATTTCACAATAATAATCTTTAGACGTAACGAAAGAAGTACAGGATGAAAAAAGAAGGAAAACCGAATATTCTTTCCTAATAAATATCTTAGACTTCGTAGACCTGAACCATATAGCCGCTGTCCAGAAGGCCTAGTTCCAGTATAATTGTCGAAATCGATGTGTGGACGTATAGAGTGGTCTAGCGGTTGTGCGAATCAGCTGATGCGAGGAGAGTTTGGTCAATAGCAAGTGTATAACGAGAGGACCGAGAGAAAAAGAGAATGAATAAGAGATTGGTCAGTGTATACACAAAAGAAGAGAATGAGAGAAAGAGAGCGTACACACAGTTAAAACAGCAAGCGATTAGAAGAGACTTGCTAGACATCACTCAGACATCGCCACACCAACCGGTCCACCAATATATGCAAATGAGCATAAGCGATAGAAAGATGAAGGGAAAGAAAGAGGCTCGACGCGTTCATCGAGTCCCCAGACATCTACATTGCGACAACTGCAGACTCAGCCAAACGATCATGAGCAAAGATGACACTCTACAAAGCCGTCACAATGTTGGTTTAGTGGGCAACACAAGTTCGCATCAGATTATGGCAAAGTAAAGTTCTGTTTTCAATTGCTCATGGAGAACATATTTAGGCAATAATTAAAACATCAAACAGCTGCAGAGGAAAACAAACGGCCAAAACACTTTGAGTAATCTAGATTGTAAACCTGTCTATAACTTTCTGGAGACACTTCTTTTTTTTCAAAAAAACTTCTCGCTACACGCAGAGTACAGCATTATGCGAGGAGGATTTAAATGGGAACTGGATAGTACTGGATTTCTGGCTTTTAACGAGAGGGATGTGTTTCGAGTAAAGGTGTAAGGCGAGGAAGTTTGATGGAACTGGATTTGGTCAACTGCTTTGGTCAAAAAACAGTCATGTAAAAGACAACTATAGTAAATATTTCTTTGCTTGCGGCCACTTTTACTGTTAAGCGATAAGAGATATAGATAGACCTCCATATTACAAAACACAAAACTCGAATCATGGTAGAGAACAAGGACGAATTGCACAAAGGAGGCAGAATTAGATGATGACAGACAGAAGAAGGGAGGATGGAGATAGAGCCGGTTTGTTAAGAGATGTAAAGGAATGTGCGCAATCTGACAGGGCTTATGATCAACTACAGAACACTACGTCTTTTCTTAGTAATGTAATTTCAGATCAATTTTTAAGAAACTCTTTGCACAGGTGTGTATGAATAATGAAAGCACAACTTTGCTGGTAGAAAGGGAAATTCAAATATTTCAAGCAACGACATACGAAAGAAAAGACTAAATATAGAAGAGCGATAAACCACATCTGAGTAAGAACTCATTTAGAATGACATTGAATCACAAAAAACAACCAATCGTCTACTGTGTCAGAGTGCGTGCTCTAAGAGTCTTGTTCCAAAAATAGTTCGTTTATTTCGAAAATAGTCTGATGTGAGCGGGCTCTTCTGTCTAATAGGTAGTTCTTGGTGGATGCTTGAGGGCGCGGTTACAATGGTCAACTAGCTGAGGGGTCGAGACTTGTGTTTGCTATACCGCACGAGTCGCCCCAGGCGCTATTCTCGGACGCTGAGTCTAGTCACGCCGCGACAAGAATAGAAACTGACCAAGGAGCCAACAACCAACAAAAACCAAACGACGGGGACTGTGAGACATCAACGCATCTTCACCATGTTAAATGATTCAACGAGGGGATTAACCACATTCGTACGAGAATCGAACCAATCGAAACGAAACGAATAGAGAAATATGAATTAATTGGTTTGACAACGATTAATTTCGTTCATTGCGTATTTCATATCCGTCATATGGCGAGAACCTCACGCAAAGCTTCTTTCCCTGATTGACGATTAATTCTTAAGGGCATAGACGTCTGAGGGCAGTAGAAATAAGGTTATTGTGTTATCTATAGTAGCAGACATAAAATATGCATAGAAAATAGAAACACCAAAACAGAGAAAAGAGACAGAATTGCGATAAATCTATAAAAGACTGATACACTTATATGTGCATGAATGTGAAGAGATAGCTAAAGAAGTGAAGAGACTAGGCATAGACAGGCTTAAAGCGAGAACCGGACCGGACATAAAAACAAAGACAACTCTTTCAATTAGTAGCTACAGCGTAACTTCTTCCAGTCAACTATTAATTGTTGGTATGCACGGCTTTGCACCTTAATCTAGCCTTATTAGCGACCAAAAAAAGGACTGAAGCTAAATTTGGCTACAGAGTGCTTGTTCAAATAAATATTGCATTGAGACAACAAATAAACGAAAAGATAAATTTTCATGTACAAAGAAGGAAATGTCAACCGATTGTCATGACGAAAACCAGAAGAACGTTGTCAACTAAATCAATAGATATGTCCGAATAGACGAATTATACTATATACTCTCTACTACGCTTTTGCCAAGTTATGTAGAATATAGATATGGCACAAAGAGTTCGCTGAGAACAGCTTATATGGGAAACTCACTCTCCTAGCATGGCATGCACGCTAGTCGAAGCTGCTGAACAAGCGCAAAAGCTTCAAGCGCGTTGCGTAGTAGTAGTATAGATTTGGTAGGCTAGACATTACGAGAACAGGAAAGGGAACACATATAGATACACAAAATAGTAAAGCAGTAGTCAAATGACCAAGTAAAACACTTGGGCTCAGCTGAACTCAGCTGAAAAAGTGTAGGATATAAGAGCGAATTCTTCAAAATTGAGGACAGAAAAGATGAAAACAGCTAGTACAAGGTTAGAACAAAATAAGCCCAGTTCATGAGAAATGCCCTATCATGAATAAACTTATCCGACGATATGACAGAAGAAAAGTGTAAATTCGCTTGAATAGTCGGAATTAATTAACCACTACGTTAGGAAAATTACACATCAATATGAGACAAAATATATGATTTAGTAGAAGAAGCAAAGACTTCGTCGTAATATAGCACAACAACGACGTAGCTATGTAGCAGACAAGATGAAAAAGAGAGGGTATAGCTAGCAGAGGATTTACACTGGACAACCATAGAGTCCTAGGCTAAACGCCGACTTCATACTGAACGCAATGATATTATATCGTCAAGAATAAGATTTGAGGGCGTCACGAAATAATGCTGAGCGTACACTAGTAAATATGCGACAATGAGATCATAAATCTATTAGCCTAAACATAGAAAAGGGCATAAAAAAGTGGAACTATACTTAGTGCCGTTAGGATAGTGTATATCCCAAAGCATTCCTACCAGCAATGAATCAAATAAAATATTATGAATAAGGGAAAATCATGTAAGCAAGAAAACATGTGATGGGAAACGTTGGCTTCAAGTGAAAGTATAATAGAGAGGGAAAGCAGTCCGGCAATCTGGTTTCCATATGAAAGTACAGGAATGACTACTGGAGAAGCAACTGGACTGGATTTTAAACCCAGCTAACAAATCGGCAGGCTCGTATGCCAAAAAGACGCTTGATAACTGTTTCTTATTGAAACGAAGCTTTCTCATTTCACTGAATTCACTTGCTTGCTATCAAGGCGGCGTCCGGTTGGTTGGTCAGCTAATAATAACCAGTGAAATGTGACAAATCATACTGATAGACGTAATGGCAATTCAGGGAGATGAGAAGAAGAATATTGAAAAGTTTGAAAAACTGAGATATTTCGAATTGAGAAACTTTAAGAATTATACAGAGACTACCGTCGATTGACCAGAGATTGGGAAAAGACAGTAGCTTGGGTAAATGAGCCGCGACGCGTACGTACAATGCGTAGCGGTCGACGGTACCAATCTCTAAGGTCACTCTGCATGGTTAATATTAAGAGGTGAGGTCAAATGATGGTTGCAGTCGGGCCCACCTGTGCTACTACCCGATCCGCAAGGACCAACCAGGGTCGTCGATAACACATGGATAAAGACAAGCTATGCAGAGAACAAATAAACTGATCGCTCAAGTTATTCAAAATTGAAATAGATAACCAATGTTCAAATAGGTATAAACGTAACTTTTTGACAAGGTTGCACGTATGACGTCAACAAAAGATCTTTCAGTTTGTTGTTGTTATATTATACATCTTGAAAAGCTAATAAGAACCTGTATCACGACATTTTGCAAGCGATTACATCTAGCAAACATATTATGGAGTATAAATATTCAAATTAGCCACACCAATACCAAAGCTGCATACAGCTTTTTCATTGCTTTCACAATCGAAGAAAAAAACGAATATAAGATCTAGTTTGGCCAAGAGATGATCTTACAAGAAAGAAGCAGAAAACAAGATATAACATTCCCAGTAGTGTATTTTGCAATTAAAATAAGGACCTATCAATATATTAATAGAATCATTGAAATCTAGATATCAGATAATTTTCTAAAGACAATCATTTGGAAAAGCTCTATACTAGTTGGTAGCTGCGCGAGCGAATACATGAGACTATGTCATAGATGGAAAACAAGAAGGAGTAGGACGTATCGAGAAGGTCGTGCCGGGACTAAAGGTTTAGAGAACGAGAGAAATAGTGGGTGGGGGAGCTTGGCCAGCCACTGCCAGCCCCGGGCCAGCATGACCGCAGTTACCTAAAGTGCAAGAAAGGAATGTACTATATATGCAGATGTCAACGGAAAGTCTCTTCAAAACACTTTTTTTTAAAAGAATTAATTATGAACTATAGCCGTATCACAGTACAAGCGAAGAATAGAATGTTCGCTTCGAAAAGAATTAGGCGGGAGAAAAAGTTTTTAATATAGCCTTATGAACTCTATACGGAGGGTTTTTGCTCGCATTGAACAGAATAATCTTGTTCAATCCAAATTAAACTTCACATAAACGAAGTGTTCTTGGAATGTACTCGCGAACGAAATGTATAAGCCGAGTACAAAAGGACTATGAGCGAAATGAGCAATTTGACGTCGGCTCTGCACTCTTACAGAAACGAACGCGAAGATTTTGAATATGGGATAAGGCAGTGTGCAATATTGATGGAGCAGCAAAAAATGTGGTTTTGTCAAAAGAAAAGAAACTAAGGGGCAGCATGCTGGCAAACAACAACGAACAACATCTAAATAGAGATGTAGAAAATGAGCAATGTTCTGCTTGGAAATGTTTGTTACGCAAAAAAACAAGGCAACGACACATAAAATTATACATGTAAACATGTAAAGAAAAAGCTTACAATGATCGTCGGTTTTCTAATAAAATTTCATTGATTACTTCGCGCATAGATAGCAAAACATAGTTCCTTTGACTAAGAAGAAAAATATGGAAGACAGTAATGAATAATTATTTAGATTTTGCTGTTTAGTCACGTTTGTTTTCACCGAATAGGTGCTACGCTATATAGACAAACATTACTGTTGCTATCACAAAATGGGATATTAAATCCCAAAACAAAAAACAGCCTATTTTAATTCAAAAATGGTAGATCGAGACTGATAAAACTTTTGAAAGTATTATGAGGTGAGCGCAAACAATCCTCTGAAAACAACAAAAGCAAGAGCAGAAAATGAAAATGAAAAGATATATATGTAAAGAACTTAGCGACTGGGAGTAGGAAGGAACAAAGGACCATATCAGAGGTGATTGACAGAAGACAGTGATGAGAACAGAAATTGGCTTTACCGAAAAAAATGATAACGCTCACAAATCAACGCGTTTTCAAAACAATTCATTAGTATGCGTGGAACTTCAGGACATGAGCCCCACAAAAAAAATTTACTAAAAACTAAAGTACATGCTTCGCGAAAAAACAAGTTATAGATAAAGAGAACGAAGCATTCAGTTTTGACAACAAAGTTCAAAAAGAGAAGAAATCAACGCGAAACCGTCTACAGATGCCATCTGTCGCCGACTGCCTTGGAGTTGGCAATGAAGATCGTACCAGGTACAGCCTGGCGGATATGGCACTGTCCATGGGAACTATTCAGATACACAGGAATCATGTCACGATTAGGAAACAGGTTGGGAACTTATTCTTTAAGAACTATCTATGAAAGCTTCAAAAAATTATAACTAATGCTAATATTTGTCGAAAAGCTACATAGCTATCAAAACATATATGGACAAGAAATGCGAGAATGAGAGAAGTAGAGTCGAATATTGCACGCTAAGCAAAGCAACAAACAACCATTGGTAAATTATTTTTCTTAAGTTTATCGATCGTTGTTTTAAAACTTTCAATAATACTGTTTTGGAGTGTAGAAATAAATTTCTGTACGCCTTCTTCGGAGTGACCTTTCTACCACGAGGCGCCGGGTGAAAAAGGAATAAAATGACACTAGCTACGAGCTGTCGAAGGGAAAAATTATAAAAACTGAGCGATGATAACATTCCATCCTTTTACTCGATATAAGAATTGTGTTGGGCTTTAACATAGTAGTTGGCGGATTCTTCGACACAGTCGAAGTCCTGTCAAAAGATGCACTCACGAGCAAAGAGCGAGTAAATACGCACAGATGCCGTGACGTCACCAACTGCGTTTAAACGATTCGACTACCAACAGTAAATTTGACAAAACAAGAAGGGAATTTTGAATTTGAAATACCCTACATTTCACCTTGATTTTAACGATAAAAGAGGCCATGAGATTCTCGCAAGACAATCATTATATTTCTCGGATGAAAGATCAGAGGTGGAAGCATAGCTAGCTACAATGTTAAACTGAAGAAAAGCTGAATTTATAGATAGTGCAGGAGATGCAGGGCAGGCATAATGAAATACAAAAAGTAGTGTTCAAGGCTGTTCGAAAAACAGATATAAATGTTGAAAATATGCAAAAAAAGGACATATATTCGATAGTGCATAGAAAGACGGATGCTAGCTACTTCATACAAAAAAACTACACAGCTAGAACAACATCTGAATTAAGTTAGCAACCTTGAAACAACAATGTTTCAGAAATCGATAGTAAAAACTAAGGCAATGCAGGTGAAATGGCGTTCATAAGTAAAAAATTAACACCAAGCTATAGAACTAGCGAATCGCAGGGAAGAGGCGTAGGCAACCAACACAGACATACAACTAGTTCTGTTTTTGGCTCCCCTACGTCTTCGGCAGCGAAAAACAACGACTCTTCAGGACAACAACCATGGAATGCAGATAAACAGTAAGCATTTCTGCTTCTAAGGGGCTAGAGCATGACTGACTAGTCAGCAAACAAAATCAATTCTATGTGATGTTACGTATTAAGGTTTTAACTGAAACTAAAACTCGCTAAGTTTTTGGAGAAGGAGTCTGGAATAACAAGTGACGAAGAATGACTAGTATCCAAGAATAATAATATGGAGAGGTTAAAAAAATCAAAAGACTATTCAAACGGATAGCATGAAAAGTGCATTGACCACATGCATACATTTCATATAAAGGAAAAGCATATCGACGTGTTTGCCTGAACATGAGACTACTGATTGAACGGCTTTGCTCATAGTATTACTATATATATATACATAGATATGTATACATACATGCGTATGATGTATTTGGATTTTTATTATAGCATCAAGAGGAGCAGCCAACGTAGTTCCAAAACATATGAATTCAATAGCATAACCAGAATAATCCTCAAATTGATGTACACAAGAATAATTTTTAACATCAGCAGAAACTTTGACGCAAGCAGAAAGAGATAAGGATAGAATGATAATTCGCTTGTAAGGCTTAGACATCGTCAAACTGCCACAGATAATAGCATGTCACGAGCAGGATAAGTGCATACTGCGTGTGATAAAACCAATTAACATTATAAGGGATAAAGTTTGAAGACTTGGAAAACGTATAACTTGAAATATCTCGTGAAAGTCCTCTTCACACAGAAACCAAAATGGTGGTAAACAAAGTAAAGAAAATTAGACAACAGTGGAGAAAACCAATGAGAGCGTACAAAATCGAGATCAGGATCACGCATTGACCTAGTGGGCGAAAGTGAAGCGTGCAATCAAATGAAAGTGAAGTTCACTCGGCCAGACAAGATCTAATCGTAACTAGATGAATTCCTATGTAGATCAACTCTATTAAAGCTCAAGAAGAGAAAAAAAAAGCGAAACAGGGAGCAATTTTTCCGAAGAAATGATTAAACTGAAGGCCCAAGCAGCAATATCTTGATACTTAACACTGGCTTAGATACAAAAAACTGGTTATAAGCTGATCGAACAGATACATGTAGAAGGTAAAAGTGAAAAAGAACAGACATCAGTCTAAAAGGGAACGCGCAGGCATTGGAGGGAAAGAGATTATAATAAAAAAACTCCACGTACCGGCTGAAGTAGATCCTGTACCGAACGGGTCATCGTCTGCTTTTTTCTTGACACTGTTTAACTGTAAAAGAAAATATAAGAACTGAAAGACAAGTTTGAAATAGAATCATTCAGATGAATGATCTAACAGCTCACGCAGCCATCCAGCGTCGGCATTTCAACATAAATGATTTAAGATTGTAAAAATCGGTACTTTGCGCGTTGGGGCCTAATGAAAAGCGCGCTTCATTCAAATTAGAATATTTTTTGAAATTATGCAAATCAAACAAACAACACGTGGCAAACAGATCATTCCGTTCGAACATAAGCTGTAGCTTCGAATCGAGTAAATAAACTTGATTTTAATAAAAAAACAAAATTAAAATTACATGATTGGGATCCATTATGAAGCAAATCGGTCCGTCGATATGCTTGAGACGGCCTAACAGAAAGACTAGGCCAATCCCCAAGACCGCGGACCGGTGTCTGCAATGTAAAATAATGAGAAAAAAATAAAGGTATAAAACAACAAAATGTATAATATAATAAGAGACAGAAAGATAAGAATGAGAATGATAACATGATAGCTTGAAAATGCGGCGAATTCCGTTGGCACATACACACACACATACACACACACACATACACACATAAGGTATTTCGATTCTGACGACAACTCGTCTCTCTCGTCATAAGCGTAGTTTTCGAAAAAAAAATTAATAAAGAGATCTATCGAGAACATATTTTAACGAGCTTAATTAAACAGAAATCTATAAAAAAAGAATATATAGACAGATATATATTAGTGTGAAATAGGAAAAACACAAAATATATTATCTTTTTCTTTTTTTTTTTTTGTTCCGATGTTTTTTTTTTCAAGTAAAGTCATCAGGCACGAAAATATTTGTTTTCCACTATTGTGAAAGATATTAAGCAGGAGCCAGGACACATTTGCTCTAAAAACTGACCTGACAGCAGCAACATTATGAAAATTAAATCTTTTTTTCGTAAAGTATTCGTGATTATAAGCAAAAAAAGAAAATGTGAGGCTTCTCCAAATCGCTGAGATTAAGAAGAGAAAATTTCGAATAGTTTTACACAACATCCAACTAGCGCTGTTCACCTTTGCTCCGCTAGCTGCTGGACAAGCAAGAGAAAGCCTGTAGTGACCTGCGGGCTTTTCAAAATCTCTATCTTTTATTAAAACAAGGCCGAAACTTCAAAAAGCTGATGGTATACGAAGGATTAGTCTAAGCTGGTCTCATCTATGCTCAGTTAGTCAGGAACACCCTCAATGTTATTGTTGTGAGGCTTAGCGAATCTAATTTTGATAACTTATATTTAAGAGAAAAATGGCGGTAATATAGGAAGTACATAGATGGAAAGCAAAAAGAAGTAATAACTGGAAATTTTTGCCTATAGGTCTCGACAGGAAGAACGAAAACGAGGGTGAAACTGCTAGCAGCTGCATCTGTTAGTCATGGAGAAAGAAAAAGAGAAAGCGAGAAAAAGTGAGAGGATAAGAGGAGTAAAAGAAAGGAGTTGGATTGAAACTGGGAGTAAGATATGACGAAAAAATGGAGAGAAAACGATAGCACGAGAAATACGAGGGAAAGATAATGTGAGATAGATAGACATAGAACAATAAAAAAAGTATGGAGAGAGAGAGAGAGAGAAAGAAAGAGAGAGGGAGATATAGTTGAGGACTACCATGTACATGAACGAGGAAGACATCAATCGACGGAACCAGAGGAATAGAAAGTGGTTATATGTGGAACATCGTCATCGTCAGATGATGCCAAATCGAGAAAAAGCCGGTCTGGGCACGTCTCAGCGGTCTTCCGTGGTGAGTCTGGTATTGGCAAGTTGTCGTCCTTAGAACACGACAGCCAGATAGCTTCGAGACGACGAGAACGAACGTCTGATTACCCCTGGGAACGAAAGGCAAAAGCACAATGAGAAGTAGGTGAGACAGCACCATAAGGTATTTTAAATACAAAAGAAATTAGGCAAATTGGCGTTAGAGCAGGTTTTATACATTACTTCGTAGAATAGTGGCATTTGAGAAGTCTTACAGACTGTATTTCATTTGAATTACTAAACAAATCGCATCTGTCTCTCCTTCACTCAATATCAACCGAGCCAACTGCTAACACACACACACACTCACACTCACATACACACAGACACACACACAGAACCACAGAATCCTGATGACCAGAAGCTTAAGAAAACTAAAATTTGAAAGTAAAACTCAAAGTCTTCATGGAAAATGTTCATCTTTAAACATAGAAATGGTCGTTTTTGTGTATCATAGCGAATTCAAAGAAAAGGATAGTAGCTCTAACAGGCGATCGATAAGTACCAAATGCATACTGGTTAATCAAGGCATTCATCAATGTTTCTCCCTCTCGCCTCACAATATGTTCTTTTCATCGAAATATCTGAACATTTTTTGATTCTTTTCATAATCATCTATGAAATAAAATTTTTTTCCTCTGACTTTCATAGTCAAACAGGCTTCTTTAGGCTTGAGTCATTCATTCTGTTCTCTTGCTGCCTTCATCGAAAGTATCGTTAATGGATAATCTTCCACCCCCTCCCATATCCCCCCTCTCTCTTCATCCTTTTCCTTTTTCTTTCTTTTTTTTCCAAATTTGACATTTACTATATTTTATAAATATAAACTATTTTTTTCTTATAATGATTTAGTCACTTTTATTTCCCTTCAACAAAAGAATTGGAAGTATTCAAAAATTTTGTTGAAAACAACAAAAATAAAAAAAAAGAGAGAAAGAGAAAAAGATGGTATAGCATCGATTCTTGATGAAGTTAGTTCGAAAGAATTCACAAACAGCTGGTAAAAATCTTCCAAGCTCAAGCTGGCTTCTACTTCTCATGTTCCAATATCCTCATCTGTCATTCGTGGGACAAAAAAAGAAATCTCAATATTAATTCTTTTTCATATACATTTCTCGAAAATTATTTGAACTTTCACTAGCTTAAGACATCAAAGTGCTCTTCCTTCTCTTTCTCATACTTCAGCTAACTTCTTTCAAATAATTTTTGACCGAAAAAAAAAATTGAAAATTCCCAGACATTTGACCAGAGTAGCTTTCTGAATATGTCCGGCACCATGAGCCTGTCGTTTATCAACATCTAGCTCAATTTGCTTTGAAGTAATGCCTGGTCTTTCGTTTTAACCCACTCTATCTCCTTTCCCTTTTTTCTACTGGACATCCTCGACTAACGTCTTAAAACCGTCTTGTCAAGAAGCAGGACTGAGATAAATAAAAGAAAAAAATGGAAAAAATAAAACAACTATGAAAATTAAATTAATTGGAGAAGAAGTAAGAAAAAATGTTTTCTCCTTCGTCAGAGGAGAATGCGAATACAACCGAACTGAGCGAGTGCAGGCAACGAAATGGTTTACATTAGCACGTGAAGTCGTGGCAGCACAGTTCACGTGATTTTCAATATAAATATTATGCGAAATGAAATTAGAATAAAAAATGAATATATATATATACATATATATCTATCACAAGACACACATAGTTCATCTAGCTAACTATTTGCCATCTGAAATGTGATGAAAGCAAAAGTTTTGGTCTTTTCTCTCTTTTCTATATTTCTGCACTATCGATTGAGTTTCTTCAGGTTTCAAGTCCATAAAAGCACGGAATTGCTGCCAAAAGTAAAAATCGAAGCCTTCAAAAGCAATTTTGTCCACTACGTCTTAGCGTGCTTTTCTTCACATGTGATGAAGAAGTAAAAGACGAAAAGCTCAATCAATTTAACAACCCTGGTGATGATGGTCTGCACTAAATGAAAGGAAATAGTTGCCCAAATGGAAGAAGAATGAAAAAAACGCCGTGGAGTCCTGGGAGATGAAAGAGAAAACGGATCAAAAACGATAGAGCATTGTGGTTAAAGAGACATGAAGAGAAAACGGCTTTGATGCGCAGCAGCATCTCCATTGGATTCAAGCTTTTGATTAGCTAGTAACGAAACATCAAAATTTAAGTTATAAAGTTTGGAGAGAGAAGCTGTACGAAAGAACTTTCCGGACCAAAAAAGCGGATAACGAGATGAGCAGAATGAAACGTCAGATAATTCACGGTTTCCATGAAAAAAAAATTGAGAGGAAAAAAAAAGAGGAAAATATGAAGAAATTGACGTCATAGGACTAGTTGGCTCAAACATAAAATCAAACAAAATGCGGTCAGCTTCACTGTGTTTCATAGTTTTTTTCTATCAATTCTAGGAGAAAAGTAAGAAAGGCAAGAAGAATATATCTTTTCCAACTGCAAAAGCAATCGAACTGATATGAAGAAATGTTGAATGAAAACAGACCAGTTACAGGCTTAGCACAAAAACTCTGATTTGAAACAATTTGAAAAATAGAAATACGTGAGGTAAATAGAGAGATTCTAGTTACAATTGTATGCCCAAAAATGGTAATCACATCTGTCGATTGAGGAAGATGAGAATAAAAAAAAATCTTTCCTCTTATTTTTTTGTTCGATTCGTATGGATTAATGTACTTGCTATGGAAAAGAGAAAAGAGAAAAAAAGCAAAATGAAGATGGCTCTTTCGAATGTTGGCAACGGAGTTGAAACGGAGAGAAAGAGAGAGAAGAGTTGTTGGAGTCTCTTGGTGTCGGCCATGTGTGGTTGGTAACAGATAACAGTTGGAGGAAAGAGAGCTAAGACTTCATCAAATTAATTACTTTTTATGAGAGGAAAAAATAAAGATAGAGAGATATGGATAATAATATCGAACATGTAGAATATGTATTTGATATATACGTATGAATCATAGTCTTCATAAAAGGGAAAAGGGGTGTTAAAGAGACGATGATGGTGGTTGTTAGGGTTGGTGGTGATGTGTGGGGGGGGAGGTCTATCATCAGTTTTTCTACAGAAACTGGTAACCCATTTGGCTCTGAACAAGAAGAACTGAGCGAAGCTAACGGTACAGACATACAGACATGAAGAGGATATGAAAAAGAAAAATTCGAATCAAAAAATAGAAAAAGAGAAGAAGACGAAAGTGTGCTGCTGTTGTATATATGGTGAAGAAGACGATTATGTTCAGAAAATGTGTTTTGTCATATCATCGTCTTCTCATCATTTTTGTGTTTCAAATTATTCACTCATTTCATCTCTATTCGTTTCCTTCATTTTTTCCCTTATAAGCTATAGAATGAGATGATGAACAAGAAAATTTCCTCAGTCTAGGATGGGAGGGTATGATAACATTCGCTCTGTTTGTATAATGATTAAAATTTGCTTTGGCTCATTAAAACAGCCAAAAGGCGAGGCTTAGTAGAAGAAACGTTTTGTTTTTCAGAAAAAACGAAAAAGAATCATATGAAGAGGTGAAAAAAACAAAAAATTA